TGTACTTTAGAAAATATTGAACGTCATCATTGTCTTCAACCTTTAGGTGCTTATTGGCAGATGATGATAGAGGAATTGAATACTTTAGTGTAAGACTATATTTGTTGAGATCTGCATTCGTGATCTTATAAATGCGGTCAACAAGCTCAGAAAAGGTTACGTTCCGTGATACTATTATGCCTTTAGCCTCGCCACCTTCATAACTCTCAATGTTATCCTTGTGAACCCAGCTTCCGTTGTAGAATACCAATATGCCAACAGTCTCCATTTCTGCAAATAACATCAATAAATCAATCTATTTGCATCCCCATCATAAGGTATACTCATTTCTTTACATTACCAAATTAGAAATCAAAATAGAAAACTTAAGTTCTTAGCAAAACTAACCTAACCCAGAATGTCAGTCAAATCCAATTCAAAGACCTAAAATTTCACACTTAAGCATCTAAATTGAGGGAAAAACTAACCTCACTAACCTATTTCTAGGCTAGACAAACTTAAGATCTGATTTTTATGTTTCGTGTTATTTTGTGCAAAATGCTTTATGGGTATTGAAGAAGGGGACAAATATCTTAAAACTCAAAATTACAAACAAGGGTTGCATACCATCAAATTTATTGGCATATTACATATATATTGGCAATTACAAAACAAAGCCATGCATTGGTCTTGAAGCAGCCTATAAAATTCTTCATCACCCTTACTAGTGCACTCTCGGGAGTGTTCAAAAAGCCAAAAGCAATGAAACCAATGCAGAACTGGTGAACTTGTATGGAGCTATGAAACCTATTTCAAAATTCAAAGTAGAATGAATTACATAAAAAAACAGTCCTTTTACTCTCAAATTGCAAATTATTTGCTTGTGAAATTTTTTCCAAAAACTTATTTCCTTTCCTTTCAAACAAACAGGATTAGAAGCCAAACCCCTAAAAATCAAAATTGAAGCAAAAACTAACCTAACTTACCTATTTCTTTGCTAAAGAAAATCAAGATTTGATTTTTATTTGTTGTGTTATTTTGCAAAATGATTCCTGGGTATTAAAGAAGGGGAACATTAGCTTAGAACTCAAAGGGACAAAGGATCAGAAGAGAGCACCTAGTGGCAACGGGTCTAGCAGGTTTCTGTTGTTGATGCGTCCTTTTCTATTCCTTATGTTTCTTCTTTGTGTAGGCTTTTGAGGGGTAGGCGTGGTCTCCTCTTGAATTAAGGTGCTGGTCTCAGATGCTTTACGTGCAGCAAGGAGAGAAGAGCTAGAGAGTTGGGTTCAGATCAGAAATAAATTTTTGAGAGGGTACAAAAGGTGAATATTGAAGTATTTATATGGAGGGTAATTTGGTACTTTCAAGTTAGAAAGTGAGTATTTGTGGTTAAGTTTTATAAAGTGATTATTTCTGATTAAGGTTTATCTTTAGTGACTATGTAAGTCAATTTCCCAAAAAAAAACCCAAAATATGACAGCTGACCCTATTAAATTTAATTTTGATTATTAATGTACTTTGATGCTCAATTGAGTGTTTTAGGCTTTTTTATAAGGTTTTGGGGTTGAGTTTGTTTTAAGAAATCAATGGCAGTTTTGTAATTTAAAAGAAGTTAAAAGATTTTTTGTTATGTTGTAAATGAGCTTTGGATGTGTTTCTAAAGTCCATTTCATATAGAGTTTTTTTTTAAAAAAAAATTTGGGCTCCTATATTGGGTATTATAGTGAATCTCCATTTTTGCTATTCATCATGTATATCGTGAGTTCAATATGGTGGCAAATATATTAGTTGAATTGGGTTCATGTCTTGAGTTAGGTTTGTCAACCTTCCATGATCCTGCTGATAGTACTAGGTCTAACCTTAGTGAAGATCTACTTGGAGTCTGTAGGCCTCGATCCATTGTTTAGTTTCTCTGTTGGGCGTTAGCCCCATCTCTTTGCCTTAAAAAAAAAAAAAAACACAATAGTATAGCCGTGCCGCTATACAATTAATTTTTAAAAAGAATAAAAGAACACCGGCGTATAGCCGTATGGCTATACTGAAAAAAAATAAAGAAAAAAACCTCAGTATAGCCGCGTGGCTGTACTCTTTATGGAAAAAGATTGTAATTTTGGCAAGTTACAACTGAAAAGTTCGGCCACTATATATTATTTTATGATAATTTAATTTAATTATTTAATAATATGTGAAAATTATGTGTATAATACGTGAATTTTGTGTGTATTATTGAAAACTTTCTAAAAATCACGTGTATTAAACATGAAAAATACATACGTACGTGTATTGTATGTTTGCTTTTTTTTATAAAAAAAAACTTGTATTTTACAGAGGCTTTAAGATGTGTATGAAAAACGGAAGCATTATTAAAAAATACAAATGTATGTGTATAATACGAGTATTAAAGGGAAAAATACTAAATTCTTTATAGGGATAATAATTATGGAAAATTAAAAAATCAAAAGGAAGTATTATACGAGTATTATATGAAAATATAAGTATTATTGAAAAATACATACGTAGGTGTATAATACGAGTATTAAATGGGAAACTACTAAATTCTTTAAACGTATAATAACTATGGAACAATAAAAAATCGAAAGGAAGTATTATATGAGTATTATACAGAAAACGGAAGTTTTATTGAAAAATTGTACATACGTATATAATACATGTATTAAACGGAAAAATAATAAATTCTTTATATAAAAAATAACTTTGGAAAAGTAAAATTTAAGAGTATAGCCGCGTGGTTATACTATTTATTTAAAAAAATATTTAAAAGGACCCAAGTGTAGCCGCGCAGCTATACGGTTTGAATATCACCGCATGGCTATATTATTTATTAAAAAGAAAAGAGGGATCCGCCTAGCGCTTAGGCCCCCACAGAAAGTAAATCCCAATGACTAATCAAGCTTTCAATGTTGACAACAAACATATGAAAATAACCTAAAAGAAAAATTGTCCTTTACATTCTAGTCTGGTGTTGAATGCCATTAAAACACCTTAGGAAAAGACGGAAAAATTTGTCCACATACAATTTTCTTTTTAGATCACTTTCGCCACTTGTAATTTGCCCAAGACATGTTTGCCGATTTGTCCACATAATCCAAACCATAATATGCTTTTTGTGATCAATTGTTTAGGGGAAAATGCTTTTTATTTTTTCCAGTTTTCAATACTAGCTATTAAAAAAAATAAAAAATAAAATAAAAATTCCACAGCCATGAGTCTGTCTTTCATCTGCAATAAAAAACGACATGCGGTAAACTTGGAGCAAAAGACGATGAACACTATAACTCGGGTAAACAAAGTCTCATATTCAACACAAACAACGAAGCATGGACGCGACACTGAAAACTAAATAAAAAAATACGAAAACAATTTTGTAATACTAAAAGAGAACAAAGCAAATTTTAAATAAGAAAGGCAAGGAGAGAGGCAGAGTTAGACTAAAGAAAAGCAAAAGATTTACTTATATTTTTCAGGTCCTAATACATTAAAAATCTAACTGGAATCATACCTAAAGAACTTGTTGGGATCTCATCTCTTTCAATTTCTTTGACGATGTTTAACAATTCTTTGATTGGTTCACTACCATATGAAATGGGTGATTTGGCAAATCTCGCAGAACTAGATGTATCAGGAAACAAGTTATCAGGTGATACACCCATGACCCGTGGCAAATGTACTGGTTTGGTACGTTTACATTTGGAAAGTAATCAATTTGATGGAAAAATTCCTCAATCTCTTAAATACTTACGAGGCTTTTTTTTTGGGTCAAAGAGATGCTTCACTGAAATAAAGAGAAACCAACATAAAGTCTCCAGGAAGGAGGGAACAACACCTCCATTCAACCAGAAAACAATAAGGCAAAGGGAAACAAAACTAACAAAGAAAACTTAGTTAGAAGGCCATCCACTAAGACATCACCAACGGGTGCACGTCAGGCTCTAACCCATCTGAATTAGGAACTAGGAGGGCAAGGAAGCCCATCCGCTTGCAGAACAAAAACCAAGGAAGATGGGGGTCTGTGTAGTCAGACATCCTTGCTCATCCTCCGTCTCGCACTCGCCGCAATTGAATCGGCTACACCATTACACTTACGAGGGATCCAACGCCAATTGCAAGAACTGAAGTGAGTGCAACGCCTCCGAATAGCAGTAATAATAGGATAGATAGACCACACGCTTTTACATGATCCCCCAATGATATTCTGAAGCAGCACTTTCGAATTAGTCTCCACAATTACCTGTTGGACACCCAAGTCAGCAGCCAGAGTAACACCCATTAGCGCAGCATGGGCCTCTACTTCAATCACAGAAGCTGACAACCTATAGTCCCCCGAACCTCCCCTAAAATTACAGCCATCATCACGAATCACGCATCCCAGACCAGACTTAGAGGAAGACTTATCCCAGCTAGCGTCAATATTAATTTTGCACCAGCCATGAGGAGGAGGAGACCAAGATTCATCAATAGTATCACTTACCAAATTAGGCAACGGTAGTTGAGAGATTCCAAGGCATGATGCTTGGTGGAAATCACTACTCATTTGCCTAATTCGCACTAAAGTTTGGGTTGGAATCTCTCAACTTTAGGAACCAGTATAATAGTAAAGAAAAGATGCCACCATCGTGAGATCAGATTACATAATTTGACTTGAGAGACCCAATGACAAAATTTGGCTTGGTATGCATAACAGAATTGTTTTTGCGGGTCATTTGATTTTGTGTTTTGGTATGTGAACCAGGCTAATTATATATCTAGAATTGTAATAGTTGATTTGTATTCAGCTTTTCACATAAGGATTTGGCCCATCATTTGGTTCTACATCTCAGAAGAAATTGCCCATGTCTGGACGCTATTGGTTCTACTGAAATAATGTCCTTGGCTGGCTGCTATGCTAACTGGCTTTTGGCAGAATTTCACACCTGAGTCATGGACCAAAGAATCACAGAAATACTAGCAATTCCTTTTGTTCATCCCGAACTTTTTACAAAAGGAATTGCTAGTATTTCGATGATTCTTTTGTCCATGGCTTGGGTTGGGAATGAGTTGAGAATGGCTGGAACTGGGAGGAATTGGTTGGATTGGGAGTTGGCACTACTATAAAAGTGGTCGAAAGGCACGACCCAAAGATCACAAAAACAAAGTTCATGTCTCTTTGAACTACATTTTACACAAATATGTAGTATTTATGTGATATGTAAAGAAGACACAATAGTTTTGTGTCCAATGACAACAGAAAAATCATATTTCTTGTTACTTACACTATTATGGCTCAGTATT